ATAAATCGAATACTCGATGTATACTCGATTGTGGTTCGGATAACTTTAAAAACGTATAATCGATTTACAATCGAGTGAATATCGAGTACTCGATTTACAATCGAATGCACTTGGTTGCTATACTTAATTATCTTATTATTCGCTTTTATTAATACTTCGTTACTATTATTAATATTTCGCTGCTACTTACTTTATCGCTATTAATACTTCGCTGCTATTTATCTTATCGCTGCTATTTATTTTATCGCTATTAATACTTTGCTATTAACATTTCGCTGCTATTTACTTTATCGCTATTAATATCTCGCTGCTATTTACTTTATTGCTATTAACACTTTGCTGCTACTTATTTTATCGTTATTAATACTTCGCTACTACTTATCTTATCGCTATTAATACTTCGCTATCATTTATTTTATCGCTGCTATTTATTTTATCGCTATTAATACTTCGTTGCTATTTACTTTATCGCTATTAACATTTCGCTGCTATTTATTTTATCGCTATTAATACTTCGCTGCTATTTACTTTATCGTTATTAATACTTCGTTGCTATTTACTTTATCGCTATTAACACTTCGCTAATATTTACTTTATCGCTATTAACATTTCGCTGCTATTTACTTTATCGCTATTAATACTTTATTAATCCGTTAATTTAAAGGAATCAATTTTATTATTATACGTATTTTACTAGCTAATTATATAAATATATTAACTTATTTTTAAGATCTTTTTTATTTTATTTATACTCTCCGTTTATTAAACAAGAAATAAAGTAATCTTTTGCGTATCGCAAAGCAAAGAGCTCGAATAGCGATTTAATATATGATATCCGCTAAACCTTTATATTTAATACGTTATTTTTTATTAAGTCTTTATCTTTCGTATTTATTCTTTTAATATATAAACTAACGACGAATACGTATAGAATCCTTTAGAATTAAGCTACGCAAAATTGATTAATGCGATACGTATTATTTTTATCGTTATTATCGTTTGCATTTTTTATATAAAAGCAAAAATCATTAATATTAAAGGTTCGCCGACGGTTATTCGAAAACGTGCAAGACAATGTGACGACACGCCAGGTCTCCTGGACGCACCTCACATGCGCCAAGCTACTTCCCTCCTTTTTTCCCTCGTATTCTTCGTATTCCCTTATTCCCCGCTTTTGACCTATGAACCATGGTTCACGAGTCTTTGGCGCTTCTACCTTCGTGTATATAGACCTCAGCTACCTTCGACCTCTACACTCGGTAGTTGTTGATTCTAAGTCATTACTTTGAGATTCTCTTGAGCTCCCATGTGAACCCCCGCGCTCCCGTGAGTTCCTTCAGGTAATCGCTTAAGGTCGTCACAGACAATCGCTTATATTATATAATTTTGTTTTTGCGATTAAATGCGATAATATTGCGTATATTATATTTTATTTAATTAGTTAATTAGAAGAGCTATTATTAAGAAAAGGGGGGGTGTTAGACCAGGAAGGAGGGACAAAAAGGGGGATAAAAGGGGGAAGGGGGGAGAGGGAAAAAAAAGTATAGTTACCTTTATAAAACGCAATTTTTAAGTGTTTAAGAAACTCTTTAAAAGCAGTATTTAATATATTAATATCTTTGCTTATATATAATTGCCTTTTCGCAATTGTTTTTAAAGCGCCGTATCCTTTTATATCGATATTGATTTTAATATGCTATTATGTGTTTAAAGTCGATTCTTTTAGCTTATTAATATTATTATCTATTCGTTCGTAAGGAAAGATAAAACTTTAAACGAGTCGTGAGCAATGATCTTAGATAATATGCAATAGTTTATTTAGTTTTAGATACGTTTTTTTTAAGCTTTAGCGAAACCGAGTTTAAAAGATTATTAAACAACGTCTTTAAAAAACAAATACGCTATCAAGTTAAGAGGCGCTGCGATATTAGCTTAACTTTTTTAATTATTATATATATTATTAATTATAATAAAACAGAAAAGAGATTTCTTATTTATATTTAAGTTCTTTAGATAATACGTTGCCGTTTATAATATAAGCGTATTTATTTGCAGTATCGGCTAAGTGAAAACCGATATAATAATTAAGCAAATTAAAGATCTTTTGCTATTTGGTCAACTTTTTGCAAAAGGCAAAGCGGATATCTTTATTTTTATTTTTATTTTTATCTTTATCTTTATTTTCGTTTTTATTTCCGTCTTCGTTTTCGTCCGCTTTTATTTTTTTTATATTAATTAAATTAAGTATACTTTTTTCGTTTTCGTTATTGTTAGATGCTTGGCTTATTTGCTTTGCGCTGCGAATTAAGATATTATAAGTTTTGCGCGACTTTCGCAATAATAAACGCATAATATTTAGCGATGTATAAAAAGCTTTAATACTAGTCTTGCAAATTACTACGGCTATATATTTAAAAAAGCGTATTAAACTAGATATCGGAAAGTATTCTTCGAAGATGCGAAAAAGAGAATTGAAATATAGAAGCTTATACTAAGACTTTTTGCCGCGATAGCAAAGGATAAAAGAAATAAAGATTAAAGCTCGGCTTGTTTCCGATAAAGATTACGAAAACAAATAAAGAAGAGATTAAATCCGAGCTTAATTAAAAGGAAATGGAAAGTCTTGCATAGCTTAGATAAAACCTTTAGAACCGTGTTTCGTAAAGATATTATAGAATAGCAGCTTAAAGAGTATCTTGTTTATCTTTTTTCATTTTAAGTAAAGTGCGTCGTAAGCTTTATTAAGTATAAGATCAAATATTAAAATAAAAGGTAAGATATCGAGATTATCTTTTCGTATATTATAGCCGAGAAAAAAATTCGATCTTTTTTTATCGTTATTAATATCTTAGCTGATTTTGCGAATAAAAACCGTATTTTAATAATAACGCGATATAGTATCGAAATCAAATTCGTAATCTTTTCGCTTTTGCAATTAAGCATAACAAGCTTTATATTTAAAAATAGCGTTGTATCGCATGAACTTAAAGTTATTAGCTTGCTATAGCATGTCTTTTAAAAGGATAATAAGAAAAGCTTTTATTAATATATCTTTGTTTTTAACGCGTACGATAACCTTTTTTGCTAATCGATTTAGCTTTAATCGAAGATTGATTATTATATTAAATATAAAAGCATCGTAAAGACCGAGACTTAATATAAGATTATTTTTAAAGCGCTTTCGTTTATCGTATGAAAGCTCGGCGGAAATAAAATAAAAGCTTTTAATAAACTTGTAATTAGTTTTATAAATACCGAAGTCGTTTATAAACAATATAAATGAAATTGAAATAAAAGAAAAATGAGCATTAGGAGCAGCTGAAGCACTAAGGGCAGCTAAAGTATTAAGGGCAGCTAGAGCATTAAAGGCAGCGAAGTTCTTTAATATCTTTCGTTCGTATATATATATTTTTAGTTCAGCTCGAATTAGATGTGTTTCTTTTATCGGTGTTAATATGCTTCGATTTAAACTTAATATATACTTGATATAGTAATCAGATTCGAATAGGTTTAATATATCCGTTTCTTTTATGCTATTATATTTTTATTTAATATTAACTTCCGTTCGGTAAGCAATTGCATTCGATAATACTTCGAATGACTCGTAAAAGATAATAAGCTTTCGATAATCTAAAGCAATATTTATATTGAAAAGCAGCTTTTATTAAAGTGTAACGCTTTGCAATATAATTATTATATCTTTAACGTTTATTATAAGATTGATAGTCCGGTGCTTTTTATTAATAAAAGTGATACGTCTTTTAGAAAAGCTATTAATAAGCCTTATTAATTTAATAATGTTATTAAGCAATATAATATTCTCGTTTATGTTTTTTGCAAAGTCGCTAGATATAATTATTGCAAAAGAACCTTAAGCTTTAGAATAGTAAAACTCGTAAAGGTGGTCAACGTATTATGCTATTCTTAAATGTATATTATTTATAATAATACTAGCTCGGACGAAGTAGGTGATTAAGTTTATTAGATCGTATTAATAATGCTATGTTTTACGTACGATATATATATGCTTAGTTTTGCTTTTTTGTTTTTTTGCGAATGTAGCTTGCTTTTTTAATATAATAGTAATCGGCTTTTTTAAAAGACGCAATAATAATAAGTAAGCACGCATTTAACGCTTTAAGGTATCGATTTGCAACGGCAATTAAAATATTAGTTGTTTATCTTTATTTATAAGTCTTTTGAATATAATATTCGAAGCTATTATAAATAATTGTCGAAGCTAAATATACTTCGTGCGTAATATCGAGTTCTTTTCGCATTATAGCTCGAATATTAAATGGAATAAAGATATAAGATCTTTTAAAGCAAGAATAGCGATAGACTTTATATCGAAAAAGTCTTTAAATATTAAAGGTAAAGATGATAGTAGTGATTATAGATCTAAATAATCGATTTTAAAGTCTCGAAGTCGAAATATATCGAGGTCGGACGTATTTAATACTTTTTTTTCGTCTAGTGCAATTATAGCGTCTTGTATATATATATTAGTATATGATATAAAATATATAATACGGAATTAAATATATTATCGTAGAATTCTTAAAGCTCGTTATCCGTTTCAACTTTTGTATCGCTTTTATATTTATTATTATTAGCTTTATTTAATATATTAACGTTACCTTTTTCTTCGAAATATAATTTTAATTCGTCCGAAGCTAAAGCAAAAGATACTACAAATTCGTGTCTAGATAAAGCAGAATCGAAGGATGCTAAGTTAGAGTCGTGTTTAAATAAAGCAAAGTCGAAGGATGCTAGGTTAAAGTCGTGTCTAGATAAAGCAAAGTCGAAGGATGCTAGGTTAAAGTCGTGTCTAGATGTTATAGATTCGTATTTAAATATTGCAGATTCGTGTTTAGATAAAGCAGAGTCGAAAGATGCTAAGTTAAAGTCGTGTTTAAATAAGGCAGAGTCGGGGGATGCTAAGTCAGAGTCGTATTTAAATGCTGTAGATTCGTGTTTAAATAAAGCAGAATCGAAAGATGCTAAGTCAAACGCGTCGTATTGCGTAAGCAACGGTAAAGACTTAACAAGTAACGTAATAAGTATAAAAGAGATTAAAGACGGAAATAAAGACGAAGATTTTGAAGATTCTGATCTAGATTTAATATGCTTTTGCTATACGATTAATCGAGACGTATTAAAGCGTCGAAGCATATCGTAATTATTAAAAGAAGTGATGCTGGTGATAGCGTTGCTAGTGATAGCGTTGCTAGTGATAGTGTTGCTAGTGATAGCGTTGCTAGTAATAGCGTTGCTAATGATAGCGTTACTAGTGATAGCGTTGCTAGTGATAGCGTTGCTAGTGATAGCGTTGCTAGTGATAGCGTTGCTAGTAATAGCGTTGCTGGTAATAGCGTTGCTGGTGATAGCGTTGCTAGTGATGGCGTTGCTAGTAATGGCGTTGCTAGTAATGGCGTTGCTGGTGATGGCGTTGCTAGTGATGGCGTTGCTAGTGATAGAATTACTAAAGGAGTATTGCTTAAAGGATGTTGCTAGTAAAAGACGTAAGTAATAGCTAAAAAATAGTAGTTAGCGCGCGTGAATTATATTACTTATAATAATAACGGTTTTAGCAATTGATAAAGCTGCAGCTCGCAATTAAAAAAAGAATATAAAAGGTGACGTGCACTTGTACCGATTTTCTTTATTTATTATATCGTTATAGCATATAATAATCGTAGTAAATATCATTTAATTATAGCGTTTTATATATATAATATAGCTGGTATTAGTTATATTATTATTATTGTTGTTATTGTATTTATTTACGTCGGACGGGTAGCAGGCGAAGCTTGCCGCTTTGGGATCTCTTATAAGGTACGGCGACGTATTAAGCTAAAGAGTTATATATAAAAAGGCCTTAGAAAGCAATTTAAAGTGCTGTAGCGAAGGCTATTATCGCATGCGCCCTTTTCTTATAAATAGGATGGATTATATAAAAAGAAACCTTTTATTAAAAGAAAATTATAAAAGAAAAAGTTAAGCAAATATAAATTGCTAAAGCTAGTTAAAGGCGAGCTATTTACGTCGCGTAGCGACAAGAATCAAGGCCGGATCGGGGTCAGCCGAGTTATATTATTATATAGCGATGAAAAGGCTATTTTTAAATTGTTATGACGCCGAAATAGCAAGAGTATTTTAAATAAGTTTTAATAAAAAAAATATTATAGATTAAAAAGCAAAAAAAATCAAAATACTTATTAATTAATATATATCTTATCGCTTCGAACTTAAAAATCATTTATTACTTTTTTATTATCGTCGCTTTAGCTTTTAGCATTTTCATTATCGTCGCTTTAGCTTTTAGCATATTTATTATCTTCGCTTAATTTATTATACTTTTTTAAGTTATTATTTCTAACTTTTTGTTTATTTTCGGTTTTTTTTTTATAGCTTTTTCTAGCTTAGCTTTTTTTCGTACCGTTTGCTTGAAAAACTCTTCGTCGACTTTTATGTCTTTATCGCTATTAAGATCGATAGCTTCTTTAGCATTTCGTTTTATTAAAATAAATAAATCGGTAAATAGAAAATCTTTTATGCTTAATCTCGTAAATACGCTATGTTAATAATAATTATTAAACGTATTTAAAAAGTATTAACGAGTATATTTAGATAGCGTTTGGTTTATAGTATGGATTAATAAAGTTGTTAGTCGTTTATAAACGATTGAATGCACGGTAGCATTTATTAAATTAGCCTTTTGTTATTGTAATAATCGAATAAAATAAGTACTTATATCGTAAGAAATTCAGCTTTAAATCAATTGCTTTTTCGAAGTCGATAGCTATAATAAACATAAAAAAAATGTTTGTGATTTAATGCAATTGGAATTTCGAATTGATAATCGACTTAAGCTCTTTATAATTTATAAACCGCGTTAATACTTTATTATCTTTATTATTTGCGAAAAATTATTTAATAAAACTCTTGATCTTTTATAGCAAATAGCTTTTTTAGTTTTTAAAGTTATTAATAGATTTAGCCGTATAGTTTTCAAATATCGCATTAGTATTTGATAATTTAAAAAAAACCTTCGATACTAGAATATGCGCGTTTTTACGATTAAAGCTTGCAATAAAAATCTTTCGATTTTAAAGTTTTAATTTAGTTATAGCTTTATTTTTAGTTTTCGTATATTCGACGTATACTTTAATTGCTGCAACAGATTCGATATCTTTCGAGTCGATAGCTTTTAAGAATTGTATTGCTATTTTGCGTTCTTTTTTTTTTTTTATCGTTAAGAACTTCGCTTCTTTCCGCTAGGCCTTGCAAATCGCTTTTTATAAGCGGAAGTATATTGGCGGCGCGAAGGAGTAGGTTGGCAATAGCAGGTTTGGCGGTATTATAAGAGGCAGCAGGTTTAGCGGTATTATGAAAAGCAGCAGGTTTGGTGGTATTTTGAAAGGCAGCAGGTTTGGCGGTATTCTAAGAGGCAAGTTTAGCGGTATTCTAAGAGGCAAGTTTAGCGGCATTTTAAAAAGCAGGTTTGGCTGTATTTTAAATGGCAGGTTTAGCGGCATTTTAAAAGGCAGCAAGTTTAAAAGCAGCAGGATTAATAAGAAAGCGAAAGATAGTTATAGCGGCCGCTATATGTTTGGTAAGGTTAGCAGATTTCGTAGAAGTGGTAAAAGGAACCTTTTAAGGTTTGTATAATAAGTTATATAATAAAGCTTTAAGCGCGCGAGTGCTTATAGCTTTTGTAAAAGGTACGGTTTAGGAAAGCTATTTTCAGTATATATTCAAGTCTGCTAAGCATATTATATACTTTAGGCTTTTTCTTAAAGCGAAAAGGGCTATTTCGAATTAGATCTTTTATATCTTTTTTTAAATTTAACGTATCGTTAAAAAATGTAGTTCGTTTGCGAAGTTTAAATCGATCGAATTCGTTTGTATCTCGAGTGTTTAATTTCGAGTCTAAGTATTCGAAATCCTTTTTATTTTAATTTGAATTTTGCTTATTCGTCGAGTGCTTTTTATGAATAAGCGAAAGTACGATTTTCTTAAAAATATATTTACGTTTGTGTTTTTAAATTAGTTGTAAAGTCATCGTAGACTCGTTAAAAAATGAATTAAATAAGTTAGATATCTTGATTTAATTAATAAGTGTATATTGTTAAAATAATTAAAAAACTTACTTTTATTCGAGCGAGTAAACAAATGCAATCTAGTAAGTTAAACCCTTATGCAAAGATCTATTTAATTAGCGTAGTCAATTAATAAAGAAGCTGAAAAGGTAGTATTTTCGAACTTTATTATTATAGCAGTATTAATAATCTTGATCTTAGCAATGATCTTGGCAAAGATCGGAAATATTAAATATTAATATAAATAACTTGAAGTGTATATATAGCTATTAATAATAATAATAAGTTGACAAGTTGAAGGTTAGAAAGTTAGAAGGTTAGAAGGTTAACAAGTTAACGGGTTGACAAGTTAATAGGTTAATAAGTTAATAAGTCGATAAATCGACAAATTAAAAAGTTGACAAGCTGACAAGTTGATACTTAAAAGTTCTTATTAATAACGCAACTTCTAGTAACTACTTATAAAAAGAAGGTACGCTTATAGCGTTTCAGTTCTACTCTTTCTAGCCTGCTTATTAAGCTGCAGCTTCGGCCCAGTTAATATTGTTTACTTTAAAACAGTAATAGCAAATTATTTTATTTATAATTTATAATAATAATAATAATTAAATTATATCGCTTAGAAATTTAAAATAGTATTTATTACTTAGTATTGATATTATACTTTATTATATAGTTTTATAACTTTGCGTCTTCGCGTTATTATAGCATTGCAATCTTGCGATTTATAATTATATAACCCCGCTATACTTTTCCTTTAACTTTATCACAATTTTAATTCAATTATAATTATACTTTACAACTTTACTTTTTAACTTTATTACAATTATAAAAATACGAAACTAATACGAACTTAATATCAACTTAATACTAACACTTTACACTTAATTTTTAATTTTTAATTTTTAATATTAATATTAATAATTTATACTCAACCTTTAACTTACAACCTTTGATTTTTAACCTTTAATATTATATCTAACCTTTAATATTGCATCTAACCTTTAATATTGCATCTAATATTTAATATTGCATTTAACCTTTAATATTATATCTAACCTTCGATACTTAACTTTTAATTTTAAACGTTTAATTTTCAATTTTTAAATCTTATTACACTTAGATACGATATCTTAACGATTTAATAAGTATATTATATATCTTATAGTATTGAAAATGACTTATTTAATATGCTTTTACTAATATTTATTTTAATTGCTAATAAACAAAATATCGATTTTTATCGATAGTATTCGTAGCTTTACGAGCGAAAATAAGATTATATTATTAGCTGAAAAACTTATGTTATTACAATTATACGAAGAAAACGGTCATAGTATTATGAAATTGCACGGCGTAAATATTTCGAAAAACGCAAATAATAATATTAAAGTATTAGCTTAATTGCTCGAGTTTATAAACAGCAAATTTATTAATTAATAAATAGATTCTTTCGAATTCAAGAAATTATACGAAAAGCTTTATATTAAAATTATTCTCTTACGTGATTTAGTCGATAGACTTTAAGGACTTTAATTATTTAGAATTTAATAATTGATTGCCGCTAGTAAAGATATTAAAGATATAAGGTACTTTAGAAAGGATTTAGATATGAGTGATTAATTAGATAAAGATTATTACGCAAAGTGTCTTTTGAGTCTTAAAACTATTAATTTAATATTTAAAAATAGCGTATTTCGAGCTCGCATGATGACCGATAAAGAAAAAGATGTTCGTTTATAAGTAGCTATAAAGCGCGCTATTGCAAAACGTTATTAAGCTAAGGTATCTTTTAAAATAATCGCATAAGAAGCAGCATTTGCTAATATATTAAATCTTATAAGTATTACTTCTATATAATAATTAAAAAACAAACGATTTAATACGGATATACTTTTAAACTAGTCCTTTTTAAAAAAGCTATTTACAAGTGCTTTTTTATATTTAGCTACCGCATTATATATCGATACTACTTACTAGCTTTATGATCCGTTAAGTAATCATTTTAAAGTATCCGCTTAGCGCATATTATTGCTTTTAAGCAAACTTAAAGTACTCGCTTAGCGCATACTATTGCTTTTAAGCAGACTTGAAGTACTCGCTTAGCGCATACTATTGCTTTTAAGCAGACTTAAAGTACCCGCTTAACGCATATTATTGCTTTTAAGCAGACTTAAAGTATTCGCTTAGCGTATACTATTGCTTTTAAGCAGACTTAAAGTAGTAATAGTAGTAATATTCGTTTAACGTCCACGGGTCGCTTTTTATAACGAGTCTTGTGACCTCCTTAAGGGTATACAGACGTGCAGCTAGTCTTTATATACATAAGAGCACAAGACGCATATAGCGTAAGAGCAGATCTCGAAAGAATAATATAAATATAGCGGTGTTTCTTTTTATTAAAACGATATA